CTTTTTCGTTTTAGACGATCTTGTGCAAAACCTAACTGTATCAAGCTAACAATCAAAATACCTAGGCATAAAAATCTAGTACTTCTTTGCATTCTCGATATTGCTACGAATCAATTCCGAATCTTTTTCTATGCAAAAACGCCGTCTGTCGCATCCTTTACACATTTACCTAATTCTGCGATAACAATTCTGATTTTGTTGTAAGGCCACAGAAACATCATAACTACGCGCAGGAAAAGATTGTGCCTCAATTTCGAGCAAATGTGGAGCGGTGGGGAAGGGGCAAAGATGTTCATAAAGCACCATACCTGCAACAAGTACGAACATACTGTCCGTATCGCCATAGATGACTCTTGCCCCACCATAGTTGCCGTTATTAACCAAAGCTATTGCTCGTTCGAGAGTCTCTCTACCTTTTCCGAGGATGGCGTCCGCGACCTACAAGATTAGAAAGATTTGAAAACTGAACAGAACACGTGATGAAGATGATTAACCTCGACGCACGGCATTCTTCCACTAAAGTTTGCGCTGGTGTAACCATAAGTGACATTGGCTATAAGTTTTAATGCTAGCTGCCGTGCATCCAGAATTCTTCGGAGGCGCTACAATAAGAGGTTCGTTCGTAAATTTAAGGAAAATAGAAGACTTTCAAAACCTGACCTTGCTACGCGCATGCTTGATTGACGCCTTTACCATGACTCTAGCACCAAGTACCTAAATTCGTGCTTCAAACCTTTATGAGAAGTAAGCTTTGGTAATTTTTACCTCTCTCATGAATGTGGGCAAAACTCCAGTACGTTGAGCTGGAGTAACAAAAGCGGCCGAAAGGGGTGAGCAATGGAGCTTCTTTTTCAAACTGCACTCCACAAGTTGGGATTTCTAGAAGGATACTTAAGCGGTGGAGGTGACGATAACCATGGTACTTACCGCTACCGTATACTTCATCGCACCAACTTTGATGGAGTTCCCATTCTCACGAGCCATTCTCTCCAGCTCGAAAACCTAGAACGACTTCTCCAAAAGCAGATGAAAATATAATGATTTGAGCTGGATAAAAAACTAGTTAAGACGGACTAAAAACTAGTTTGTAATACAGCTATCATTTGGTCCCATCATTTTCCCTTTATTCCTCCTTCCTAACTTCCTTTTTTCAGACTCATTTTTCCTTTCTCGGATGCAACACCGATTTTACATTGTCGACGTTCTCAGGATCACTTAGAAGTGGATAAGTAACAAAATTTTACCAATATAATGACTATTTAAGTGATGCTAAGATATCGTGGTGGAATCCATAAAACTACTGCAAAATTTGAACAAATTGGAAATTCAAGTTCAAAATCAAAAACATTTTGTATTTTCTTGTTTCCTAGCACGGGAAGAAATTAATACCTTCCAAAGATTGTACAGAAAGTTGAAACGTTTTACAATGACACAAACTCGATTTTTCCTCGATTTTTTGGCACTTCATTACCTTTCCAAAAATTGTGGAGAAACAGTAATTGTAGGCGATGACCATGGAAGGGTACAGGGACTGAAAAACCCATTACAGATATTTTCCAAGTAGGAAAAGACATGTTCAGTACCTGAAAATCAAGGACGATGACCGGATCAAAATAGACCTTAGACAGTGGCTCCATGACAAGCTGGAGTTGCTCAGGAGCTTCCATTCTAAATTAGTGTAGATAAGTACGACAAAATTTATCTGTTTTTTATTTCTTGGAACTGATTTGCAAACATTGACTGTGTAAGTCAAAGACATTCGCATTTACCGAAAAGAAGTAATGCTTCTCTCCTACTTTATTCTTTGCGGCACAGTGACCGATGGTAGCACATAGCCTTGAGTGTGAGCCAGTCGAAAAAGCATCGACTCGACTCGTAGTTGTGAACCTCGGCTCCACACCTGAATAAAATTTAGAAAGAAATTCTTCACTACGATGTAAAAGCTGAGTACCTCGTAGAACTGTATGCCATAAACCCGGGCCATCTCTGCTGTTCTCAAGAACCAGTTGATCTCAGACAGTAGCGAGATGTTCAGCAAGGAGAGTCTGTTGATGTAGTCAATCACAACAGCACTGAAATACATA